CTCAAATGCAGCCCCACTAACAAAACACCCGTTACTTATTCTCCTATTTAAGAATGAAAACAGTAAAATATTTTCTTCAAGAAGTCAAAAATTAAATCGGTCATATGCTTCTGGTGTGTACCACAGCTCTATGGCACAATAAAGCTCAAAGGACAGCTTAGGAGTGTTGCAGGATGTCTAATGAAAATCAGGACAGATGGCAACCTCAGACATAGAAAGAGTGCAGTGGTAGAGAAGTGTGTTTGTGTGCTAATCTTTGATACAAAGGGCTGTGGAGAATCATTTTTAAACAATTATTGCTATTATAAGCAGCAGTCTTGTACTAATGTCCTCTTCTTTTATGACTCGTCCTGCCTCTAGCTTAGTGAAACAGAAAACAAGCATGAGATATACCTTCACAACAAAGTGTATTGTCTTCCTTGGTCAAGTTTACCAAAGATTGACCAATGACACTAAGTACCTCAGCACTCACCTTAAAAACCTAAGGCACCTCATTTTCATGGTGAGTCTCTGAATTCAAGACACCTTAAACAAAGACTACACAGCGTGTGTGGTGGTAGGCAGGGCTTTGTATAATAAATACCAGACATCACTTGGAAACAGATTAACTAGAGTCATTACTCTGACTTTAACACCAGATGTAAATAACCCGGTCAAACTGTACCTCGCTCTTTCATAGCAGGTATGGGTTAAACCTGCAACAAGGTACTGGAGATCCTGGCCTTGGGTTTCTTTTGCTACAATGTGGTTTAACAGGCTACCTGCAAGCTAATCTGTCCTGTCAGGCATTACTCTCTGGTTCACCCTGCTCCCCTCTTTGAAGGAGACAAGGAACAGATGTTCAAGCAGCAGAGTTGTCTGAGCAGCCTTGCTCTTTCACTTGTCTGCCAAATCCAACTCAGAGAGCAGACTGGGTCTGCTGCAAGGCCTTTAGAGCACCAGCTTCCCTCTCTCCCCACACCACAGAAGGAGAATGAAACCAGCTCACTTGTTTTGGTACCACGATCCATCCGATCTCATTCCTTTCCTTCCTTTTTTTTTTTTCCCTTTATTTTTTTTTAATTTCCTTTTTCTCCATAGCTGCTGGTTTTAGCCCTCTTTTTCTACTTCTCTGACACAGCAGCCAACTCAGCCTGATTCAATCCCACCCTCCCTTCTGCCCTGTGGCAAAAATCTCTCCAGCATATTTGTGTTTCTGTACCTGGAAAATACACACACATGTCTGCAGTTGTGAGTGCCAGAAAATGGAGTTGGAGCCACCTTGCAAGCATGGAGTGGCTGCATTCAGAAAGGAAGAGAAACAGCTGCTTGCGGCAGTCAGGGCACCCCAGAATCTGACTTGGACCCTCTGACAGCTGCTAAGCAGGGGCAGTCTAGTTTGCTTCATTGCTAAATTTCAAGTCAGCATCCTTCTGTTTCCAGCCTTGTTCTATTTTGCAAAAGTGACCTTGGGACAGTGTCTGTATTCCCCTGGCTTTGCTGAGAATGAGGACATTTGTCCCAAATCAGAGAACCGTGAAGAGTGAGGAAGTCTCCCTGTTGTTAAGAGCAAGATCCTCTGTCTAGGCCTGGCATAAAGCCAGGCTTTTATATTGAGTTCTGTCTTAGAGAATCCTGTGAAAATTGTCAGAAAAAAACCCACTTTCACATACTTCGTTACTGGCAGCCTTGAGTTTTAAATCATTCCAATTTTGTCGTCCTCTGTCACAGCTAGGCATCCTGTTCTAACTTGAAAATTTCATCAGTGTCTTGAGCATTTCTCCATCCTGCAGCCTCAGAAGTTGCAGACTTTCCTGTATCTGCTGAGTTCTCGCAATGGCAGGGTGAAGACGTGTGCACCAGGAAACCAGGAAGACAGAATTACAACTGCATATTTGTTCAGTTGTTGAATAAACATTTCAGCAAAACCTACAATGAGTCATCACATTAAAAGCTGTCCTTTGTATCCTTCTTGAGACTGCTTTTATAAAATGAATATACAAGTCAGATCTGGTTAATTCAAATAATTTTGTAAATTAAGGTCTACAGGCTTTTAAAAGCATATCTACCCCAGTGAGCAGGCAGAAGGAAGTTGCGCTGCCTGCACAATTGCTAGACACATTTTTGAGTGCAGAGCCCAGAGTCCCTCATGGGGCTGCAGGGGAAGCACATGCACTGTCAAAAGCTGCCATGTGGGTTCAGACTGTGGAGTGTGTGCTGGGCTGCAGCTGTCACGGAAATGGATTTTACCAGTGAGATCACGATGACTGCCTCAACTTTCCCCATGGACTGGGCTCAAGAAGCACATGTGAGAGGATTCGGACCCTATACATCCTCTGTCCTTGTGTATGCCTTATGTGTAAGCTATCTGAATCTGGCCCATAATTGTTTCTCAGGTTGAAAAGAAATCTTTATATCATATGTGTATATAAGCTTATTTTCTGTGAACACTCAGCCATAAGAATAGTCAAAAAATGGATCTTCTAAGTTGATCTCCATTATGCAGGAAGTAGCTCTGTTTAAAATAGGAAAACATTTTGGTTTTGCTGGTTTGCTTCCTGTATGTGAAGTCCTAAGCCTTTCATTTTACGGAAATAATAGTTGTTTTAGTGTTCTGTATATCTGAGAGTAATGATTAAAGGGACATCTCAAACATGAAGAGGTAGCCTTTCTGGATTCCCTAAAATGTACCGATAAAAATGGAGTAGGTGAATGAATACGATTTAGATGCTCAAGAGCTGATTCCAATGCAAGCCGAAGCGCAGACAGAAGATTCTGCACCAACATAACATGGCTAGTACAAAATAGATATCGCAGTGATGTCACCTTTTCTTAGGTGCATTTGCACTTGTCTTTGCAAGGCAGAAGTGAACAAGTTCATTCTGCCTGTGCTCCAAGAGAAATGTAAGCTGTTTAGCTGGACTGAGACTGAGCTGGGCTCTGCTTTGATAGGCTAAAATTCCTACCCATATGACAGTTTGGATTGTGCCAGTAATGCTTTTGTTTAAAAAATAATCACCAAGCCCATTTGTGACTCACTGTCGAAGTAGACAGATTATGTCTTTGTTTTAAATCACCTTGTTTGCCTGCAGCTGAGCTAAAATGCCACTGTAGATTGTGATTCAGTATCCTAAATGTAGGCTATTTTAGACAGCATAGGGCATCCGAGAGATCTGCATGGGACTGGCACACATGGGATATTGCCTCTAGTGGACCAATGCCCTTCCAAGGCAGCAGCAGGAGCCCAAATAGGATTTCCTAGGATATCTGAAATGGCATGAGGTATCTACATTTAAGCAAATGAATCTCATACTTTGGAATCTTGGACTTTGAAATCTGGAAGAATTGGTTTATCCACCATCATATATGCATGTGCTCTCAGCCTTCTTTCATTTATGGAGGGTTCAGCATAAGCATACAGCTGCCTCTATGTGCTAGGGTTTGCCTTCCACCAGGCACTGGAACGACAATTTGTATTTCTTTCCAATCCAGAAAGTAATTATTTGTTTTTACTAGTCTACAGAAAGAAATGTCATTTCAATCTCCTCCAGAGTGCTAATAAAGTTCTTGTTATATGTCTTCCCTTTCATGTCTAGGCATTTCTGATAGAAACACCACACATTCTTTTAAGATTTTCAGTACTTATAAACCCTTAGATGTTCAGAGGTTTTGTGTAACTGGAAAGGCTTTCAGAAACCAGTAGGTGATATTATTCTACATCAAATTATATAGGAAAAGAGGACCTAGAAGAATCGTTGCCTTATAAAAGATGACAAGAATCCCTCATCACCAAAAGATGCGTGGTCTGCAGTAGCAATATTGTAATGCCTTATATATGATTTGAAGGGTTGAAGTATTTCTAGGAATTATGATTTTTTACCTTTAAATATCTGTGTTTGATGTATCTTGTTCTTGTGTTTTGTTATGTGATATATTCATATGCGATGTGCCTTGAACGTGAACAGCTTCTCTGATTTCTGTCCTGTGAAAAATACCATTATTTGTTCAGTTTGAGTAACACGATCAGTTAAGATTCAGACATTTATAAGGAATTTAAGGTTTGATATGTGCTTAAGGATGAAGTTGTGGGGAGGAAATTTTGGACAAAAGCAAAAAGCAGTTCATCAGTCCTTCAGGCAAAGGGAAATCTCAGGCCATGGGTGGGATGCTAGTAGCAATATAAAGTTGGTGATTCCATCTACACTTATAAAAATAAATCAAATGTGTACAAAACCTCTGGCCTACATGAAGAAAAAAAAATCCCAGTGATTAATTCAAATAAGTAAAAAAACCCTCAAACTCCACAGCTTTTGTGGCCCAAATGAATGTGTAATTAAAGAAGACTGCATGGTAAAAAAAAAAAAAAAAAGTATGTTTTTTGTTTTATTTCTGACTTTTATGTTGGTAGTAACTCCAATTCCAAAGCTTTTACAAACTTCAGTAAAACCAAGAGCTGAGTTTTTGCTCTAGACCAACACTTACCAGTAAAGAAAGGAATAAAATGGGTTCATTTCACTCTTTTTAGCAGTATAGCCAGTTTCAGAAATGTCTCAACTTAAAATAGTGAAAGTTTCAAGAAATTATGATACATCTGAGACTAAAACGGTCTTTAAACACACGTCCTAGCTCAAAGATGTTCTTGGTTGTGTAAGCGTACTGGCAGAAGAAAAAAAAAAAAAAGAGAATAGATTTAGGGATATATATTTAAGACTGGACTTCAAAAAATACAACTTATTTTCACTTTGAAAGATTTTCATGCAGAAGTAAGAAGCAATACAGGCACTGCACTATGTATGACAATAGGAAATGGCAGGTTCCTATTGAGTCAACACACTTGGAATCTCATTAGTTATCAAATGGGACTTGAGTACTGCCAACAAATAAGCAACATTTTTTTCCATTCTCTGCTTCTCAAAGTCACCAAATACAGATTAGTCTGGAGTCCATTTATTGTTCCTGCTAGAGGTGATATAAAATAAAAATCAGTTTTAGATACACAGATGTTTTTTCCCTTCCTTCAGGCTGTTGAAGAATGCACAGAATGAAGTTCATTTCAAAATCTGGTATCAGAAACTACTGGCTGCACTCCAGTTCTGTGCTGGAAAAACCCTGAACAATGAGTTTTCTAAGGAGGGGAAACTTATCAGAATTCTGGAAGACATTGCCAAAAAAGTAAAAGCTGCCAGTGACCCAAAGAGAAAGGTTTGTTAAAAAATACCTCCCCTTCCATCTAAGTTTCTTCAGGTAATTTTATTTTTTCTAAAGTGACACCTCTTTCCTATAATGCCCTTACATAAATAAACCCAAGATTTGACTAAAATCCGTAAAATTTTGTGCTGCTCTGAAAACAAATAAATGGGACAACTCTCATCACTGTTACTCTTGAGGTCAGCGGATCTTTTAAGCCATTTGAATTCCTTCAACAGTTGTTTCTCAACCAAACTTGGAGGTGGTCAGAAATAATGGCAACAATGGCAGCTGATTAACATTTTTCTGAAAGGAACGCTCACATTCAGCTCCTTATCCCAAAATATTTGACTCCTCTAGAGCTGCAGTGTTTCTTGAAAACTTTGCTAAGAGTTTACCCTTACAAGCTGAACATCCTCATTTCTTAACAAAGCCAAACAGAGTGGACTGTAGTTAATATCTCAAATATAGCATTTAGCAATTAATACTGTATGCATATCTGGAGAGATACATTCCCGTCAGTAGAAGGCTTGCAGTCATCTTCTCCAGTGGGTGCAACTTTTATATTGCGTAGGCACATTTCCAATTGAAAACTGTTAGTTTACCAAGACAGCTGTTGTTACTTACCTGATATCTAAAACTGCTTCTTGCTGAGATCTCAACAAGACAGACCAGAAAGCCAAATAAAAATATACCTGCCTCTGCTGGTTATCATGAAAGTTATCATTAATTCTTTTTGCCTTATTAAGGATTCAAAGATCTTCAAAGGATTTCTCAGAAAACTCAGTGTTGCTACAGAGTGCAGCAAAGCAAACGTGGAAATAAAAAGACAAAACTATTTGCAAAAAGAAAATCCATGTAAAGAAAAAGAAATACTAGTGATATGTTATACATTACTAATGTATAATTCAGATTTTAGAGATTAATCTCAAGGGTGCAGTTGCTGTGATGCTGAGAAACTCCCAAAGCTTGCAGTTAGCACACCTACAGATAGGCAAGTGAGATCACAGTGTTGAGACAACAAGCAACAAATTGTGAAGTTGTCCAGCAAGGCAAAAAAGACATGAGATGCAGCAGAGAAAGTGTAAGGCTAATCAGCCCCTAATGAAGGGTATTGAATCTCAACCTACATGACAGCATGAACTGGTAGTGTATCAAGGCAGAAAAAGCATGAATGTGGAGTAAAATCACAGTTCTCATTTTTAATAACTTCACCTCAGTGTGACCTCATTAGCGGTTATAAGGTTTCAGGGATGCTACTAGCTCCAGAAATTGTACCGCTTGTTTAAAATATAGAAAGACAGTCAAAGGCTTAAGAGCTGCTATTATGTTCTTTCATGTTGCTGTAATGATTCACATGTTGCAGGAGGTGTTAAAGGTGGAACTCAACAGACTTCAGCAGTTCTTCCAGGAGGTAAAGGTTTGCCGGCTTCCCCTGAATCCAGCGCTTGTTGTCCAAGGCATAGAGGCAGATGTAAGTCTAGCTCGCGCAATGGATTATCGTTTTAATTTTTTATTTTTTTTTTTTTTTAATATAAAGGGGGAGAGGGAGTGAATTGGCTGCATTGACCGGGAAATAATCTTACTGGCATTAAGCATGAGTTATCTGGTAAACTGACATCTAGCCTAACCCTCTTTAAACTGGGGACCTTTGTTGGAGGCAGAGGTGAAGGGGACAGGTGGGACGGGTGTTGCATGCATGTCTCACATTGTGCAGCAGTGGCGGCAGAGGTTTCAATCTCTGAGAAACCTGCTCTCAGCTCAGCTGCCCCGCTGTTGTGTCAGGACTGGCAAGGGCACCTGGCTTCCCTGAAGCTGAGGCCTGGTTACCATCTTGCCCACATAGCTCTTGGTGGCAATGTTTTTTCTCACCTGAGACTCTCCACTGTCACATAAGGGAGTAGCTAAAGGTCTAGAGCTAGGTCTTTTTTTGCTGAGGTGAGACTGGGCACATGACTGAGAATTACTAAAATATTCAATACACTCATACCTGTGTCTATGACTCCTATTAAGAATTACTTAAGAATAAAGGAAACAAAAGTGCTCTTTAGTGTGACTTGACTTTACTTTGAGCACAGTACTAAGGCTCAGTTATTTGTTGTTTAGAAATGTTTTCATAATCAATATTATGCCAAGAATAAGCTGTTCCATCTCTGGAGAAGGAAAAGGTATCCAGCAGCAAGAGAAAACAAACCTGAACGCCCATATATACTACCAGTTACAGCTGCCTAATTACAACAATTTGTGTTCTGTTTTTGTTCTCTGGCTCATTATCCACAGTGGACGTGATTCTAAGAGGTGCTGATCCCTTCAATTGCCTTTGACCTGTGATTCTCCAAGTAATTGCTATTCAGCCTTGATCTCACTGAGAACAGAGGTCTTCCAGCACCCTGCAGGCTTGGGCCAATTGTGTATGATATGTCAGAAGAATTTGAAGCCTGCTGCTTCTCACTGCTTTCAGGCTTTTTGGAAATAGTGACTAATGGGAAGGTATCTCACCATACAGTCATGCTAGTTATACTGCACCAGCTTGGCTGGACAGATATGAAATGTTGAAATAAGTATCTGAAGAGATTTTTTTTTTTTTTCATTTTTCTTATATCATTATAGGCCATTATATTGCTATAAATACAGGTAGCTTCTTGAGTGAACTGTATGTCAGTATAATCATGCAAATTAGAATTTTTAAGTGCTTATAATTACCTAAATTTAATTCATTTTGGTGTCATCTGTTGATTTCACTAGCAGCAAGCACTGCTTCCAGCTCTATCAGTAATGCATTATCTCACAGTAACCTTTCAAGCACTTACTGAGGCATTTCAATTGGCAAAATCTATAGGGGGTCAGGATTTCATCATCAATAATAGCTATTGCACGTCACAGGGGTATGATGTGGCTAAGAAAATGTTTGCATGCTTGTGCCATGCTTTGAGATGCCTAGATGAAAAGCAAGAGATAGCTGTGTCTAGTGGTAATTTTGTTCAAATTAGCCTCCACTGCACTCCACCCAGTAAGGACAGCAGTAGCTCCTGTGGGGCACTCATTATTTCCAGAAACTAGGCCATTAGTTTACCATTGTCTTTGGTTGTTTTTTTGGTGGGTTCCCCCCGCCCCGCCTTTTTTTTAATGATGGTAGTAATACCACCCTAACTCATGCTGGATTTGCAGTGCTTGGCTCATTAATGCTTTTTGAAGCCCTTTGAGGTCTTCCAGCGGAAGGAACTATAGGTCATGAGAAGTCAGAGTTTATGTTTAATTAAGAGAAATTCCACATAAAATAGATTATGATTTTCAGAACTGTGTCCTCAGCCAGCGTGAGGTCACCAAAGAAATTAGCAGGTTCTTTGCTTCCATAAAGATTGTATGATTGGGCAATGGGTTTTTTTTGGGAAAATAGTACACCAAAGGCTTTTCAGTGCTTTAGAGATTCTCATTAGATCAGTCTTACATACTTCATCTACTCAGTCCCAGCTAAAGTTTATCATTAACAGGCCTGGTTGAAAGTTAAAAACAATTAATATGGAAATATTATCCATGAATATAATTTGCTTACTGAGTGAAACAAATTGTCTGGGAAAAAAGAATTTCTGATTTGCCTGACCTAATCAAACAGTCAATAATATCAAGAATTATTTATTTTTGTTACCAGTGCTACTGAGCAGTATTTAAATTTAGTACCTTTTTTGGAGGTATTGTATTAGCATTATGCTTTGTATATGTAACATGTTGTTCTTCTCTCTCATCATTTTTCCCCTGAAGTCATGTTCATATTTTACGTCCAATGCTTTTCCATTAAAAATCTCCTTCATCAGTGCAAATGCTCCAAGTGGAAACATCAATGTTATTTTTAAGGTATGTTCTTCCTCATCCTCAGTTCCTTTTGTAAGGAAATATATTGATTTGAATTTCACCTAATTTGTGTTTTAAACCTTGAGCCTAAAAATCTTTGATTTGGCTCTGGTGTTAACTTTTCCCAATTATTTGTGACACCAGAACTTTTAATGGAATATGCTGAGGCAATGCACTGAAGTGTGAAGAAATGGGCTCAGGAAGAGAGAGGTGGAGGGGACAGCAGAGGAGCTCTGTCTTGTTGGAGTTACATGGAGGAACTGATTCTGAAAATAAAATCCAGTTTATTTTCCCGTTGTCACCTAGAAAAGCTTCAGAGTTCAGAACAGTGCTGTGTCCATCCATAAAAGACAATACATGTAGTTTAAAGTTACTTCTCTTTCAAAAGAGCAAAAGTCTTCCATAACAGTAGATACTGGTTTTAGAGAAGAGCAATAAAAGTCATGAAATGGTTGATGAATACAAAATGGTCAGTGTTGCCAAAGACATTATTCCTAGATCTTTTGCAGTATCATTTTCTAAACCAAAAGTTTAAAAACATTGTAAAAAAAAAATAAAAAAAAAAAAAAAGACTTCTAGGTTGTCTTGAATTAAATTGACCTTTAGAGCAGCTGTGATTCTCAGGAACAGAAGTATGCTTCCCAGGCATGTTAAGGGGAGGCTAGCAATGTTAGAAATCTGGTTCTTACACTGTTTCATCTGAGAATCAATGTTAAATAGACAGATTCCTACTTACTTGAGCAACTTAAGCAAATGCCTGCTTATGGGGCATTTAAACATTTGTGCTGGTTCTACCTAGATAGTATTTTCCCTGCCCAGTAATGTTCAACAAACAACCATGTGTCCAGTTGCTGCAGAAATATTACAGCTGACATTACCTTCTCCTGTCAGCAAACCACTGTGTTAAGGTATCCTTTACTTGTACTGTAGTTCCATTGTTTATCCATGATGGATAATGCATACATAAGATGATAAGCACTGATATCATACTAACTTGTCTACTGACTGTATATGTGAGGGAAGGAGAGAAGGTAAGTGGAGAGAATAAGATTTTTTGCAGGTTTAAGTACTAAAGAATTAATTGGGGTCAAGATTATCTTTAAATGAAAGAAAAATAGATTTGGATTGTTCTTTTTTTAAAGATAAGTTCGTCTCCTCAGGTACTCATTTCATGGCAGTGAATGTCTGTAGATCAGAATGCTTATGTAAAAAGAATGTAATAAAAGAATACAGCACTATAAAATACCAGTGAAAGTCACACGCATTTTAACTGGGGCAGGGAGGGGGAAACAAAAAAAAAAAGCAGGACTTCTGTATTCATTGGCCATTTACTCAGCCATGGTTGAAAATAATCTCTTCATTACTTCTTGTGGCTACAATTAAAGCCCCATTTCACTAAGATTATTGTTTGACCAACTCCATAGGGAGAGCAGTCAACACTGCATCACTGTTTGAAATTGAGTATGAATCATGTCATGGATAAAATATAAATTCATGATAAAATTCCCCTTCAGCCTGCTATAAATACCAAGTTGTGAAGCTTAACATTAGACAAACACTGTCATTTATGAAAAGGAATCTAGCATTAGGTAGACTTTAAAATGTAACTAAATTGGGATCCTACCTCCGGATTAAATTTTCAAACTCTAATTACATAGGAATAATAAGCAGAAAGGCTGCAGTTAATCAGAGAGCATTTATTACAATCTCAGTGGCTGCCAAAACTGTTTCTGCCTATGTGTGCCATCTACTGTGTCCTCTTCCAACACGGAAAGATAAGTAGCAACTTTGAAGAAAAACGAGAGGGATTTACTGTAAAATGAATGTAGCTATTTTGGTGGGGGAAAAAGTCTAAATGAAATAGGAAGATATTTCTATCTGGTATTGAAGGAGAAACCTGGATTTCTTCTGCAATTTCCACAGATAGGAGACGATCTACGTCAAGATATGCTGGTTCTGCAAATTATTCGAGTGATGGACAGAATTTGGCTCCAAGAGGGAGTGGATATGCAAATGATCATTTATAGGTGTTTATCTACAGGAAAAAACCAAGGTCAGTTTCAGAGTATAAAAGTTACTTGTATTATATTATTCATATTTCATGTAAACAACGGTATACAAAAATCTTCCCTTTAACTTTTATTTTCATGGGTGTCTGATTTATCTTCCCTCTTAAAGAAAAAAAAATGCTCAGAGTTTCAGTTACTCAAGCCCTCACCTGTATACTTGCCTACTCCTGAATACTTATCTTATTTATTCACTCTGCCTATCCAGAAGAATTACAACCAAAGTCATTGAATTTTGCAGCAACTTAGGCCAGAGTTTTCTAAATGCCTCAACGCCATCAGCGTGCACCAGATTTTTAAAAGTAACTTCACACATCAAAAAGAGGCCTTTGGAGAAAATTTGCCATAGCTGCTGAAGTTTTAATCCAGTGTGATCCTGCATAGATGCTTAAATGAACCTAGATGCATGTGGCTACAGAAAGTACCTGAAGACAAGTGATGACAGCTTCGCAGTGTTGATTTTGAAATATTACTTTTGCGATTTATGCTGCTTAGGGCAGGCCTGACTCATCTGAAAGCTTTATTTCTCTTTTATGGCTGTTTTAGTAGAGCTGTAGGAGGGATACCAATTGCTTGCTAAAGAAATTTACTGACAGCAATAAGCTTACTATTTTTTACTGACTCTCCAAATCTTTAGTGAAAATAATCCTTGCACAAATAGAAGACTGATGTATCCAAATTACCTGCTGTACAAAAATTATTAAAATAAAAATTAAAAAAATCATTGCTTTCTGAGCCACAAAGAGAAAATCAGAGAGGATGAATGATCTGAAGGAACTAGGAGAAAGTATAGATGAGTTCATGCACATGACAGGTTGTTAAGGTGACCTGAAAAAGACTCATCCCTTCTTTGTAGAGATGGGAGTCAAAGCTTGAAGGCTTCTGCTTCAAAGGCAAATAATACAAGAATACTACTTCTGAATGTAATATTATAGTCTTTCTTATATACAAACACTTAATTTGATTTTTTCCAAGAAAGATACAGGGTTTGTCTGCAATTAATATTCTCTTCCTGACAGTCTCTTCCTTTCAGCACCATAGCAGCGGAAAACCTCTTGGTGTCTGACAGATTTTCCACACAGTGTCTTTCCTTTTGGGCTACAGAAATGTGAATATATTCAGTTTACAGTTGATGATTAAGGATAAAAGGACCAAGTGACATGCCTGTGGTCATACAGAACATGTGCTTAAGTAGACTTGTGTACCTAGGCCTTCTAAGTCCTAGGCTAATAACTTGCTCCATGGGCCACCTTTTCCACACAAAGGAGACAGGAGATGATAATTCCATAGTCAGAGGAACACATAAATCACTTTTCAGAGAAATGTGGAAAGCAGATGAAGCACTGGTAGAATGTCACTTTCCAGGCATAGTATAGTAGAGGATCCTGTCACCAAGTGAAATTGTTAGAGGAAGTCCTTCCTGTAATGCAGAGCTGCAGGGTTACATGCCAGGGGACCACACATGGGGACAGGGAGAGAAGGCTGGCAAGCCAGGTCTCAGTTCCAAAAAAGGAAATAAGTGCATGTAGTAGAGATAGAGGATTCAAGTGAAGCATTGCAAAATGCTTGGCTTCTCTCTGCACTTCAAAGTCCCAGTTTATGTCATATTGGATCAGACTGATTTCTGCACTATCTACTATTCTTTCTCCCAGCTGTGATCAGCATCACATACTGCAGAAAAAAAGTGTGTATCATTCTAGACAATAAACACATAAGAAAACTTCATATTTCATAGCAAATTTCTGATCCTATTTTTCATAGTTTTTTCTTGGTGTATGTATTCTACCCACTTTGAATCTCATTAAATTGTTGGACTTCTTGGTATCTTCAGTTAGTTATGTCCACAATATTTTTATTGGTGGTTTTATTTCTCATTCGCCGAACTGCTACTTTTTACTAAGTGTCCTTTGTTTTTTGTTTCCAAAGAGAAAGACAAAACCAATCCTGATCTATATTTTCTATTGCATTCATTACTTTATAAGCTTTTAAGCATGTATTTTTTTCCGCATGGAATGATCCAACAACAGGCAATATGCATTGGTGGATTTCATGTCTTTTTAAAGTAGAAGGTTTTTCATGTGAACTCTTTTCTGTCTGATTAGGATTGGTACAGATGGTGCCAGATGCTACCACACTAGCGAAGATCCATAGGGAGTCTGGACTGGTAGGACCATTGAAAGAAAACACAATTAAAAAATGGTTCCGTCATCACCATCCTCTGGAATCAAATTACCAAGAGGTAACATTTTGGTGAAGCTTATTATACATTTCATGTTTTACCATGGGAAAAAAAGAAACCACATTGCAGTAAGCAGGAAAAACAAACGACTCAGACACAAGACAAACAAGTCACATGCAAAGAAGCCAGGGAATTGACTTAAATGTCACTCCTTTTCTAAGGAGATATTGCTCTGGATCCGGAGCATTGTAATACATTTTCTATAAAAATGTGTCATAGAGATGTTTTGAAATTTAGTAGTAAAGTGAAGAGAAGGTGAAGTAGAAATTAAGTACTGAACTCAAAAACATTTATTTTTTGGGTCAGCTGCCTAAATACTTTATTTTACATAAACCATGCAAAATCTCGGTGGATTTGCTGTATTTGGAAATGACCACATCAATACCTGTAGTTCTAGAAGCTGTTTTATCAAAATTGCCTAGTCATATGGTACATAAGATCATGCTTTTCATTTGACATTGTGGGATCCCATGTAATGTATCTGATTTTATGAAACTAGACATTATGCATAGCCAAAAAACTGGAAATTATATTTATAGAAGCAGAGGTTTCCCAAGGGACCCTTTTTATTAATTATTTGTGTGCTGAACATGTTCTGAGTCCCATGAAAAATCTTTTAATGTTTGTGTTGCTGGGACAATTTTTAGAACCCCACTCTGTGCCAACAGTAGATTAATACCCAAAATTTTAAATTTAAAGGGGAGCTTTGAGTGTTTACCAGTCTGAAAAGGAAGTGCTTTTATAACAGTTTATTAGTAGATGTATAGCATAAATATTTTCGATAAACTTTTAGTAATTTTGTATTTATTCCATAGCCCTTTGTTTATCCACATTTTCAGTGAGAACAATCAAACAGGAAAAATCTCTATAGATGTTTTTTTTTTACAAGTTTGTTTTATAGTGTTGTGGTAGAAGTACAGCCAACATTTCAATGGAAAAATGAGATAATATTAGTTATTGATTGATAAGCTGATTTCTTGCTGCTGCTGCAGTTTGTCAAAAGTACCTTCAATGTGGAGTATTCTAAAACAAATTTCTACCATTTTCTTTCAATTTTTAACATATAAAATGCAGTCAAATCAGATTGCATAGAGCATGCATAAACTTACTACTATGAACCTTCCCCTTTTTTTACTCATTAATAATTTTTTAGTCATACAATACTATATATAAGGTGCTCAAAAAACTAATCCAAAATAAACTTTAATATCCTCATTTTACAGTTGAGTGAACAAAATCACAGAAAGCTTAGGTGTTTCATCCAAGGTCATCAAAGTGAGTAAGTAGTACAGTTAGATGTAAAATTCAGCCAACTCTTGTGCTGTGGCCTAAATCTTCCACAGTATGAGCCATTGCCAGTGGCATCTTACATCTACAGGGAAATCCTGAATGCCTAAATAATGATTTACTTTGGCTAATGTAGGTTTTGTCCAAAACCAGAAAGATCACAGATTAGGATTAATCAGGCTGTTGAACATAAGATGTCAGCTTCCTGCCGAGAAGCTTGCTTTTCTTAGCTACATTTCACCATAGAAGTTTTCCATAGAATTCCAAGTATCCATAAAACACAAGATGAAAACCTCATGCATAAAATTTTTCTTGCATTGTAACTTTGAAATTTGTTACTTCTTTGAGTACCATTTCTACAAACACCTGTCTGTTAAAATTTTAGCAACTTGCATAGCATTTGTAGAACTACATTTTTTTGTTTTCTTGTTAGTGTCACAAATATGTTTGTATATTTCCAGTAAGGGCTTTTGTTTCACTAACTAGGCAATAAGGAATTTCTTTTATTCCTGCGCTGGCTGGTGTGTTGTTACCTTCATTCTGGGAGTCTGTGATCGACACAGTGACAACATAATGCTAACAAATGCTGGACGCATGTTCCACATAGATTTTGGAAGATTTTTAGGTCACGCACAGACATTTGGAAGCATAAGAAGGTTAGTATCTATAGTAACACACATAGTAAACTTTAAAGCAATGTTCTGAAATTTCACAGCCTTATCAACTCCCATGGAAAAAAAAAAAACCAAATGAGATCATGCTTTTTTTTTCTTTCTGAATTTCCCAAAACATTTTTCTGTCTTCACAAAACCTCTGAAAAATATAGGAATGATTGGAAAAGGAATTAAAAGGAGATGTTGGAGATCCCCTTTCAGTCTAAAAAAAAAAAAAAAAATCTAAATCCTTGTTTGGTCAGACATTTGAATGATGCAGTTCAGTAGTGACCACAATAGTAGATGCCAAAAGAAATCTGATGTCCATTGTTTTTTTCCTAACAGAGGAGTGTTCCTATAATGGATCCAAAACCATAATTGTATCTAATTGACCACTTTCTTCCATATTCAGCGAAGAAACCAAATTTTCCAAATAAGCATGGAGAATAATTACATTATGCCTCTGTGGGTAAAATTGAAAACTTTTTAATTATCTTTTGAAGTCTTATATCTAACCACACTGAGCTCAGGCGCTGTTTTGCAAATATCTGATTTTACCTAAAAAAGACTGTGATTTTTCTGTGTTTTTATGTATCTGTGATTAACTGTCATGTTGTAAAGATAAATAAAGTAGTGTGATCATGTATTCTAGTGCCTAATGTGAACAAACTATGGAGGAATGAATTGGGATGTAGTAAGAATAAGGTAATGCCAGTATGTGCAAAACACAAAAAAGCTGTTATAACAGAGCAGAGAATGATAAATGATCCCTAATGCAGACAAGATAAGTAGTGTGCGTATGTGGGACGGGTGTCTTTCCTCCATGTTTCCTAATAATTTCCAGAACTGGTCCCACAATTAAGTCTGAGGTAATTGTTCCTTTCTTTTTTCCTTTTTTTTTTTTAAGCTGGCCTTTGACTATTCTAGACTATCTCAGTGTGTTAGACAGAAATAACAGCGTGGGAGTATTGATATGAGGGAAGCTGATGGGGATAATAAGTACTTCTAAGCGAGGCAGTCAAAAGATTTTGTTGCAGTGCTCAGAATTATCATCAATCATTTGAGATATGCTCCCTTAATCCTACTTATTTGCTGTGGAAAGAATAAAGCAGAACAGAGTAATAAAAAAAGACACGCACACTCAGAGTCAAGTGCTGCATCCCTCAGTCCAGCAAATCTCCTTTTGGAGACTAACAGGAATTTCCTTGAGCAGTAATTTTACAGGGGCAAAGATTTACCCGGTTTTAGTGAACAAGAGGATGAAGCAAATATGGGGGGGGACACACAACAACCAAATTTAAACAGAAATCATGTAATAGCAATAACAAAAATAGATGTTAATTTTACTAGTTTACAACTCAGTCACACTACACCTTCTTATTAAGTCTATGAAAATGATTTAAAATATAGTCACTTCCATAAACAGCAACCATTTTTCTTCCTGTTTCTCCATGCAGTATATTGCTTCTAAACTATAGAATAAAATAATCTATTTTAGGACCTCCATTCATGGAGTGTCTTTGTGGTTCCTTAGTAAAACTGGGACTCACAATTAACAGCAGGTTGTGGATCTGTTCCATAGGATATGGAACATCATGGGATAATCGTTGTCTTCCTCACACCTACATGTAACTGAGCAAATGCAATATTAATGACTATAGTTCTCATGAGCTGTATGCATCTTCATGAAATGTAAATATTATTTGTAACACAGGGATATCACATTTCTACAGCCCGTAAATTTCAGGTGCTCTCAAAAATTGAAACCCTCAGTGCTATTTGGATCTACTCATTCCCACAAGGCAAAGCCTGAAATAGGTTTAGCCTCTGGTTTCTTTAACAGCTCTTTAGATTAGATTTTTATTTGAGTTCTTATTAGATTTTTATTTGAGTTCTTTGCACACCAAACAATATCATACCCCTAAAGTAATATTGATAAAACACCAGCACAATGCTTTCAAATCTTTAGAATTATTAAAGTTGACCCTTGAGGTTTCATACAGTAGATGCTCAACATATACTTGTGAAGTTCTATAGGTGGCTTTAAAGAATGAAAAGCATCTGATATGGATCCCTGTACATGAAACTGGTCTTTTACACACATCACGCAAACAAACTATTTATTTGTTGTTTATTAAATCTGTGCAAATGAATGAAGGCTTATAGAAAAGGAATCCCTGTTTGGACTGTTCGAAACGTCATTCCTTTTAGAATTAAGGCAGTTGCTTGCCTCAGCTGTTGATTTTCTGTTCTCAGGGAGTGCTTTTTGCCATTTTCAAGCTCTTATTCCTCATAAAGCTTTGTAAGGATAGGTCCTCTGCACTATTCTGCATATGGAACACTTCTGATGCAAGTAAAGTGAAAGGCATACATGGCAGCTTTGAGAATAGCACACTCTCCTACATGGGCTGCAGCTCTTTCTGTCAAATCCAATGTGAGTCTTCAGAGAACACTTTGAAGGTGATATGATCCATGTCATGTTCACTTTGCATTAATGATTATATAATACTACAACGAGAGATTAGTTAACTTTTCTAATTCCTGCCCTCATCTTCAAATGATGTTCAATAAATCTACTCAGTTTTGAGTTCAAGGCACAAACCAGTAGGTCAGCTCTTACTGATTTCAGAAGGAAGAGGAATCAGGAACTTTCTGTCTTTTCCAGTTCCATGTACCTTCACAGTGCAGCAAATATGTTAAATAGTACTAATAGCCTGTCTTTACCTGTATCTAGGAACCAATGTTTCAGAAGTGTTGGGGGGAGACATATGATGTATCTAAGCAATAGCATAATAACAGAGCTTGGCAGAAGAATTATTCCCAAAGTCCCACAGGGAACCTTCCTACTGAACCATGAGATTTCATTAATTTATTTTTATTTTTTTTAAATCATACTGGATGACACATGTTGTTAGCAGTAATAAAATACTCCTTTCATTCTCTAATCCAGCCACCATATTTGACCATACATTTCCCTAAAACAGTGAATTCTGCAGGTACACTTCAAACTGTATGAAGAAATTTTTCTCATTTAATTTCATATAACTGTCCTGTTCTTTATCTACTGAGTATTCTGTGGTAATCATCTTAGACCTACTCCAACTTAAATAGGTGTAATATTATCCAGGTAATCATACAGGACTAGGTCAGTCATTAAATGGTACAGAAGAAGGTGTCTGGCTCGTGATTGTACGTGCCATGCTTGCTTTGCTTTTGTTTTCTTCTTTTCAGTTCTGACCAGTTCCTTTTGAACATTTCTTCTTTGGTGAATTAAGCAATAAGAGATTTATTTAAATCCTGTGCTAACTGAACTAATCCTAACTTCAGCAGTCTCATCCTCTCCACTACCAGTCACTTCCAGGGCTGTCGTCTGTATTTTTTCAGTCAGCAATCTGTAGTCTGAAACCTGATGGCAAGTATGGAGCAGTCCAGCTCATAGCATACCATAAATTCACGTTTTGATAACCTAGGTGTCCACTTTTTTTTTTTTTTTTAAATACCCAGTCATCCTGATTATTTAAAACACTCACTGGACTTTCTTTTCCCTGATCTGAATCACAGAGACCCTCTTGTCTCTTCGCCAAACTAATCCCACAGTTTGGCAAGGTTTTCCTAGAAGTTAAATATGCTAAGCTGGTTTTCTTCTACAAAGATAATTACTAGAGGCAGCCTAACTATTCCATTGGGAAACTCCATTTTTTTGAAAGAAGTTTCAAAAATATTGGAAAATTGTTTCCCACACTTTCTTCCTGTGTCAGTGCTTTCCTCTACTGAAAGAAAGTCTGAGCATACCTCTCTTTATTTTAAAAGTAACACATTACATTTTTAGTTTTAATAACCTAAAATGAGTGTTACTGTCTCACTGTGTTTATTTGAAAAAAATGTATTGTTTTCACATATTTCTTTCTAAAACAGAAAAGCTAGCATACAGACAGGGAAAAATAAGTTGTAGCTGCATTCTTTGACTACATTGTATCTACATGTGTTTCATCTTTTTCCTAAAAATATGAAAAAGTGGGGAAGAAGGAAGACAGGAATTTGAGAATTCCACATTTTACTTTTTTCTTTTTTCTTTAAAAAAATAAATAGGGTACTCATCAAAGGAAGAGTCTAAAATTTGAAAGTAAAAACTTAAAGTATAATCACTTTTCATTTTGTAAATTTGTGCATGAAAACTGTTGGACTAACCTGCATTACCTGCTGAAAGGTTTCATTAGGAATTTTCAGTATGCCTATTTATAATTCATTTTCTGTAGTTTAAATTTATTTGTCTGACATGACTGGTCTGGTTATTAGATTATGTGAACTGGTAACTCCTAATTCTTTGCTACTATCCACTTTCAGCACATCCTGTATGCCATCCTCCCAAAATCTCTGACTGAAATCCTGGAAAGATTTAATTTCATGACTTACAGCACTTTAGTAGCCCCAAAGATCTTAATAAGATTATACAGATGTTTAAAGATAGTCATATATGTAAGTCTTTGCATAAAGACTGAAAGGTGAAATATGCATAAAGGCCTAAAGATGAAACAGTCCCACATCCAGGGTGACAAGGCCTAAAAGGGCTTGAATTTATGAGACAAGAAGTCCATTGCTTTGAAAGTCAACTGTCTCTAATTGCCCCGAATTAAACACCTAAAGCACATGTCGAATCTGAGAACATATGAGCAGCACAAGTTGCAGTCATGTTTCAGACGCACTTCTGTTATATTTGTCTGCCTTGAAGAGTATTGTTACTGTTTTGATGCTTTCTCTAATGATCAAGTCTGGATAGTAGTTTGCCCTTTACCATTGGTCATTTATTTTCAGCAATAGCCTCTTGTGGAAGGCGTTTAACTAAAGCTTTTTGAAATCAGAATAAACTATGTTCACTGTCCACTTTGTATCCTTAATTTTTTTGGTTATCGTTTTCAATGCACCCAGACAGTTAAGTGAGGCACTGTTTTTCCCACACATTGTCTGTATGTATTTGACCCTATCCAAGTGTGTTGTTCTTCTGA